ACAAAAATTTGTGCACTGGCGGGGGGTATCCCTCAGCCCCACTTGTGCCCTCTCACAGTCTGGGACCCCTTGGGAGATAACGACCTGCTGGTTTAGGCCCGCTCCCGGGTGGCAGAGGGCAGGCCCAATCCCTAGGTGCCTGCCCCGCAACCCCTGGTAGGGCTCAGAGCAGGGCTGATTGGGGGGTTGCGGCGCCGCCCCCTGTCACACTCAAGGCAAGGTCGATGGGGAGGTTGCGGCGCCACCCCCTGTCATGCACAGAGCAGGGCGGATCAGGGGGTTGGGGCACCGCCCCCTGTCACCCACAGAGCAGGGCCGATCGGGGGGTTGGGGCACTCCCCCCTGTCACACTCAGGGCAGGGCCAATGGGGAGGTTGCGGCTCCACCCCATCACACACAGAGAGGGCCCATGGGGGGTTGGAGCGCCGCACCCTGTCACACACAGAGCAGGGCCAATCAGAGGGTTGGGGAGCTCCCCCCTATCAGGCACAGAGCAGGGCCGATCAGGGGGTTGGGGCTCCTTCCCCGTCACGAACAGAGCAGGGCGGATAGGGAGGTTGTGGCCCCACCCCCTATCACACACAGAGCCACAGGGCGATCAGGGGGGTTGGGTGCTGCCCCCTGTCACGCTGCTCCAGGGGCCAGGAGGCCTCGCGGCTCCGCTGATCCAGGTGCTGGGAGGCCTTGCGGCTCCGCTTGACACAGGGACAATGAGGCCTTGTGGCTCCACTGATCCCAGTGCCGGGAGGCCTCGCGGCTCCGCTGATCCCGGTGCCAGGAGGCATCACGGCTCCACTGATCCCGGGTTCGGGAGGCCTCGCGGCTCCGCTGATCCCAGTGCTGGGAGGCATATTACCCTTTTACTATATAGAATAGAGGCCTGGTGCACAGGTGGGGGTCGGCTGGTTTGTCCTGAAGAGTGTCCCGGATCAGGGCGGGGGTCCCGCTTGGGTGCCTGGCCAGCCTGGGTGAGGGGATGATGGCTGTTTGCAGCTGGTCACATCCCCTTCAGGGTGGGGGTCCCGCTTGGGTGCCTGGCCAGCCTGGGTGAGAGGATGATGGCTATTTGCAGCTGGTCACATCCCCTTCAGGGTGGGGATCCCCACTGGGGTGCCTGGCCAGCCTGGATGAGGGGCTGAGGGCCGTTTTCAGGCTGGCAGGTGACTGAAGCTCCCAACCTCTCCTTTTTTTCTTTTTTTTTTTTTTAATTCTGGGATTTATTTACCTTCTATGGCTGTCACTGGAGCTGAGAGCCAGCTTTAGCTCTGAGGCTCAGCTCCAGCTCTGAGCCCTCGGCTGCTGAAAGCAGGTTTCTGGGCTTTGTTTACCTTCTGTATTTGAAACTTTGTTGCGACTCCAGCTCTGAGATCCCAGCTGAGTGAAACCAGGTTTCTGGGTTTTATTTAGCTTCTCTATTTGCAACATAGTTGCTTAGAGAGCAGCTGAGAGGCCGGCAGCGGCAGGCGGGGAACCTTGGCTTCCTCCATCACTGGAGCAAGCAAGCCTCCTGTTCGCTTCAGCTTCCTGGCTGCCAGCTGCCATCTTGGTTGGCAGTTAATTTGCATATCGCCCTGATTAGCCAATGGGAAGTGTGTCGGATGTACGGTTAATTACCATATTTGTCTATTATTAGATAGGATAGAAGATTGTTTTGGCTAAAATCACCAGTAAATTGCCAAATAGAAGTGGAAAGGGCTGGCATTCTGGTTTTATTCCTCATTTCCAGGAGAAAACATCCAGACTTTAGCATTAAAGGTAGAAGTACCTGTGGATGTCCCATATTCGCTCATTCTCAGGTACAGGAAAAACTTCAGTCCTGATTTGCTGAGTATTTCCATCATAAAAGGAGGTTGGGTTTTGT